TCAGTAACGATGTATCACACTATGTCGATGAAAGCGTTTGTGTAGCATATTATCGTCCGTATATCACTGCCCATATATTACCACCTCCTCATACATCATTCTCCACATTGCAAACACAATCAGTATGAACTGAACAACACCAATAAAGTTATAGCACTTGAGCCATGTATCGAACGCAGGCCATCCACAACATTCCACGGTGGAGCGTTGGAGTCTCCAGCATGAGATAGATGCTCTAGGTAAATGAAGCATGTGCAACCAAAGACACCAGTTGAATACAAAAATATGAAATTCATTACACCGGAGCGTGAGTTCGCATATATCATGGACCATATAATGCCCATGCATTACTGTACCACTAATAGGCGAAGATCTCAGAACCCGATTCATCGAATCAATCTCCTATCTCCCGTAAAACTGCTCCGACGATACTTTTGCGCGCGCCATACGTACGCATCAACATGTGGATCCGAACATTTCAAGACCAATCTCTGGTCACAGGATTTCAGTTTCAACCATACTTGAGAGGACACCCATTAGCGTAGAGATCTATGTGTACACAAATAATCAGCCGATTTCCACGGGCCATTTAAATTTAGCTTTTTCATTTCCAGCCCTATTCAATAGGCAGGTCGCACCTGCGCGATTGCGTGAAAGGTTTGGGCGCGCTCTCTCAGGGGCCCCCACCCCTGGCGCGCGCTGATGCCATCATGGCATATGTTGAAGCTTTGGGCAAAGCAGGTGCCCAACACCCAGGTCGTGGTTGCCGATCCTCAGAAACTAGACAGGAACAGGACGCTGGTCATAGTAACAGTGATGACGAGTGACCCACAGTGTCGGCCGCTAATAGCTAGGGCCTCCATCATCTTCTTGAGACAGTGAGGGCCGGCACCTGGGGTGAGGACCTCGACTGGGGAATCACTCGCACAACGGTACCCTGCAGCCGAACGATGTGCCCTTGTTCGATTGAAGTCGATATGGATCCTGCTAGAGGGGCCGGCTTGGTATGGTTGGACACAACCATTGTCTCCGCACTGTCCTCCTGTTTGAAAAGGTTAGGATCCCTTGCTCGATATGAGCTTAGCCAAATGACCGTGAAGCCCTTGACCGCCACTGCTGTTGCGCCACTGCTGTTGCACCTCCGATACGGCAGCCCCTATGAGTAAAAGCGAACGAATTGCCAGTAGAAGGAATGTTTAACCAACCGAACGGTTATGTAAATTACGGTATGAAATTTCGGACGATGTGGTAGAATTCAACTAATGTTTTTCCATCAAAATCGATGAATAATTGTTCTTTTTTCGTGAATAACGTCAATTGAATTCGAGAACCAACATTTTACAACAATGTAAATTCATTGATGATGGTCCATAGTGAGTACTCCTAATTTGGAATGTTAAAGAGTCATCTCGAAAATGATAGTTCGTGAAATGGCTCCATTCACACTACACTTCACCACTGAATTAGCGGACTAGACGAAAAGTTATGAAAATTGCCAAATGACCGTCCAGAAATTTTGGACGGTGCCGCTGGCCGCCTCAATGGTGTGATCATTGAGACTTCGCCATCATCGCAATGATGACATTCAATGATAACGTTCATATGGCATGGACAACGTCACCAGGGCATGTCAAGACCATACCCGCGATTACTTTGTTCTGTCGACATACCAACGACACCAGACCTTCCCTTTTTTTCGCCTCCCACCCGCACCACAGTAGCTGCAGGCCTATCCCCGTTCATAAACTCAGCCTGTTCCTTTAGTAAGTCCTCTTCGGATAACCATGCTGGCTTACGGGGCGGCATTCTAGCACTTCAAGCACACTACAGTACGAAACCCCACTACTGCTGAACACAACACCGAGATCACTGTCGATAACAACGACTATGACCTTTGTAAGCGGCTGTACAGTGTGGAAAAATATGTCGTGGTGAGAATGTGGGGAATCTGAGAAAATTTAGAGGGATTCTCATTGGCTTCTGTGCACTTCTACCCGAATTCGTATGGACACTACTACTATAATGAGTGAGGAAACTCCTGAGCTCAGCTGAGGGGGGCAAACATATACTCCAACACTGAAGTTGTAAACATTATTGTTGGTATTGTATAGTAGGAAACCAAGAATACCAAAACTTGTCATGCGACCATAGAAAAGTTACTCCTTTTTCATCAACCCTTGCATAATCTTCCGCCATTAGAAATGCTCCCAGCTGGACCCTCCATCTTCTTGTTTGCTTCTCTCACGAACTACTTCAATTTCACACCAACACATTCAGCATATAAATTCCTTCTAATACCAGAGCTGGTAGAAAAACAGCGACCCGTCGCCTAGCCGAAAAGAGAGAGTCCGCAATGTTCCCAGTAACTCACACACGATGGAATATTCCTCATCTTTCGAAAACATAATCATGTCGGCTATGGCCTAGTATTAATAAGCCAACCACTACTGGGCATAACGCCTGTAGCTTGACCGTCAGAGGGAGGCGATCGTGGTACTGGGCTCTTTGGGAGCTAATTGTGGATTACAGCAATGAGGATTGATCTCTTCAAGCCCTACTCAAGACGACCGATAATTATAGGGCGCGCGCGGTTGCCCAGGACACTTTGTAAATTGTCGTTGCCTTGGAATGCTCGCACTTACGACTACACATAAACGGTTCTAGATTCTCCCTACGATAATTCAGACGTCTTCGTTACAATGATAGTGATCTACTAGATTTACATCATCAGGATGATGCACTTGAAGACTTGGGTCATCTATACGGATCAGTCTTCGATCCTCACGTTCCTTTTTTGAGGGAGACCACTTTGGCTCGTAATTCTAAAACGTTTAGCTCAGTTGGTAGAGCGCACGAGCCATAACCTACAGGGCGGGGGTTCGATTCACCTGATCGTGATATTGCGAGGCTTATTTTCGCATATACGGTGGCGTGAGGCAAGGCTGAGCATTGCTCATTGAGCAGACTGAAATAAGCCCTTCTAACGCTTGCGTAGCAGTTAGGCTGTGAGACTTCCATGCCTTCCAGTATTCGTCCATTACGAAGAAATATCACACTATTGGGTGAGGCTACGAACAATGCACGCGTGCCTCTGAACCACGTCACGTGCGGCGCCACGTGAATGGATTGTGCGGCGGCTTGTTACTCGACTAGTCTCAACTCTAGCATCAAACATGACAGTGGTTTCCTCCAATCCGTTCTCACGTAATGTACTGATATACCTGACTCTATGTATCGTGACCCCCGTCTCCGTGGAGTG